ATAGATAGATAGATAGATAGATAGATAGATAGATAGATAGATAGATAGATAGATAGATAGATAGATGAAAGAAGGGAGAAAAGAAAGAGAAAGGGAGGGAGGGAGGACAGAGAGAGAAAGGAAAGAAAGAAAAAAGGAAAAAGAGGAAGGAAGGAAATTGGAGGGAGGATAGAGAGAGAGAAAAAGAAAGAACGAAAGGAGAGAGAGAGAGAGATAAAGGAAGGAAGAAAAAGAGGAAGGAAGGAAGGACAGGAGGGAGGGAGGACAGTGAGAGAGAAAGGAAAGAAACAAAGAAGGGAAAAAAGAAAGAAAGAAAAAATAGGTAAGTGTTTGGCTTGAGGTGATATTGTGTTGCAACAAATATTGGAAGCGGATTTCAGTTTTAGGTTGTGGGGCTTTTTTAAAATATGCCTCCACGGTGTAGAGTTCAAGTTTTTAATTAAACTTTCATTTGCCTGATCCCCAAGTGTCCGGCTCATTCGACTGCCCCCCCTCTTTTCTTTCATATTCAACCCATTAAGGAGAAACAGCTGAACTGTCTTAGGAGATGATGATCAAGTGTTGGTTAAGCGATGTGGAGAATGAGAAAGAGTTATAATAACTGGGCCTAAAACGGGGCTGTTTAAGGCAGCATAAGGAAACAAAATGAAATTTTAGCCTTTGGTAACCGTTGGCTGCGATATTTGCTGTTTTGTAAATTCCTTTATCTTCTTTTGGTTTTGTAAAAACAAAAAAAATATTGTTTCCACCAAGTGGGCCACTTCTCATTTATCTTAAGTCACCTGCCTTATCTCGGAGAAGCTGCTAAGAGCTTTCCTACAGCAGATATTGGCCTTAGGAAAACAAGAGCCATTTTGATGTTAATAGCCAAGGCCCCAGGCTAGAAATCAGGAGCCTGTGAGTTCTAGTTCGGCCTCAGCCATGGAAGCCAGCTGGGGGACGTTGGGCCAATCACCAGGCGCCTGTGACTTCGACGACTTCTTCTCAAGCTGCAGAGTTATATTGCTGTTCTGGTTGAAAATCTGCATGTTACATTTTTTTCAAATAATCTTCGGCTGCAGGGATGAAATGAGCATGTTGGAGCGATTTTAAAACAACAACTCTTTTGACGCTTTTCTTCATGGGTAAAAGTAATGGGAGGGACTCTGCTGCAAAAGATTATTTAATTCTGCCTCTTAAGTCAACTTCTGACCGGGGGTTGGATCCTGGACGGGCTCCTGTTGGCAGGAGGGGGTGAAGCCGGGCAACATTTTCCATCTTTTCACCTTTTTTTCTTCTCTCTTGGACAGATTTCAATGTCCCGTTTTGTGACCGAGGAAAAGGCGGCACCTTCCCAAGGCAGTATCATCTCTCCCAGAGTCGCAAGGACTACAATGATGGTAAGCCAGCCAAAACAAGGGTTTTTAATTGCTTTCGAATGAGAAGGTTATGAAAGCAGATAGTCTCAAAAAAAGGCAGCACGGCAGCTGTGAAGGTGCAGTGCAAACAGTTTCCCTGGCAGTGGAGATGACTGGCACGAGAGAGAGAGAGAAAGAGAGAGAGAGAGAAGGGAGGGAGAAAAAAGGAGAAGAAAGAGAGAGGGAGTGTGAAAGAAAATGAAAATGGGACAGAAAGGAGGGAGGGAGAAAAAGAGAAAGAAAGAATGAAGTAGGGAGGAAGAAAGGAAAGGAGAAAAGAGAAAGAGAGAAAAAGAAGAAAAGAAAGAAAAGAGGAATGGACGAAGTGAAAGAAAAAAGAGAAAGAAAGAAAAAAGAAAAGGAAGTGAAAGGAAAAAAAGGAGAAAAAAAGAAAAGGGGAAGCACAGAAGGAAGTGAAAGAAAAAAGGGGAGAGAAAGAAAGAAAAAAGGAAGGAAGGGAAAGGAAAAAAAGGAGAAAAAAAAGAAAAGAGGAAGCACAGAAGGAAATGAAAGAAAAAAGGGAAAGAAAGAAAGAAAANAAGGCTGAGTCAACCCTGAGCCGGTGAGATTTGAACAGCCGAACTGCAGAACAGCAGTCAGCTGAAGTAGCCTGCAGTGCTGCATTTAACCACTGAGCCACCTCGTGTATAAGTGTATTTCTACCCTTGTTTCCCCGAAAATAAGACCCCCCCCCAGATAAGGCCAATCGGGCTTTTGAGCACATGCACTGAAATAAGCTCTCCCCTGAAAATATTGCAACACAGCAGCAGCCATGAGGTGGCCACGCTCTCCGTCTCCTGCACCTCAAATATAATAAGACCTCCCCGAAAATAAGGCCAAGTGCTTATTTCGGGGGTCAAAAGAAAATAAGACCCTGTCTTATTTTCAGGAAAAACACATTGGGATCCAAGAAATTCTTTGTGTCTTACGTATATGGAATATATGGAAAATATTCATCGTATAATTTTAAAACCCTACAGCCGTCCATTGGAACTATACACAGGTAGACCTACAACAGTTCCCTTAGCACTGAAAAGGTTATTTATGTCTGTTTTTCATGCTTACGACCGCTGCAGCATTCCCATGGTCACGAAATCAAAATTAAGATGCTTGCGGAGCTGTCTCACATTTGTGACGGGTTGCAATGCCTCGGGATCACGTGATCCCCTTTTGCGACCTTCTGGCAAGCAAAGTCAATGGGGAAGCCAGATTCCCTTAACAACCGTGTTACTAACTAAACAACCGCAGTGATTCACTTAACAACCGTTGCAAGAAAGGTTATAGAATGAGGCAAAATTGACTTAACAAATGTCCACAACAGATGTTTCGGGGTCAAATTTTGGTTGTGGTGAGAGTGCAGTACTGCAGGGCTACTTCTACTGACTGCCGGCTACCTGCAATTTGGTAGTTCGAACCTCACCAGGCTCAAGGTTTGAGTCAACTTCCATCCTTCCGAGGTGGGTAAAATGAGGACCCAGATTGTTGGGGGCAAGAGGCTGACTCTGTAAACTGTTTAGAGCAGTGTTTCTCAACCTTGGCAACTTGAAGATGTCCAGACTTCAACTCCCAGAATACCCCAGCCAGCGAATGCTGGCTGGGGAATTCTGGGAGTTGAAGTCTGGACATCTTCAAGTTGCCAAGGTTGAGAAACACTGGTTTAGAGAGAGCTGTAAAGCACTGTAAAGTGGTATATAAGTCTATAAAGCGGTATATAAGCAGTAAACGGAGCCATGGTGGATTTCATTCCCAGAATTCATCAGCCAATATGCTGCGGGGAATTCTGGGAGTTGAAATTGAAATATCTCTAAAGTTTTCTGAGGTTAAGAAAAACACTATTCTTAGGGGAACAATACAGTTAATCCTTGATTTATGACCATAGTTGGGACAAGAATTTCCATGGCTAAACAAGACAGTGGTTAAGTGAATCACACTGGATTGTATGACCTGTTTTTGGATTGGTTGTTAACCAAGTTACTGCAGTTATTAAATGAGCCGCACATTTTTAAATGAATCCTGCTTCTCTCCTGAACTTGGATTATTGTCAGAAGCTGGCTTAGATGTTACAAGTGACAATGATGTGACCTCAGGACAGTGAAACTATCATGAATACATGCCAGTTGCCAAGTGCCCAAAATTTGACCACATGACCATGTGGATGCTGTTATGGTTGTAATGGGCACGATAAATTAGAATATAGAATAACAGAATTGGAAGGGACTTTGGAGGTCTTCTAGTCCAACCCCCTGCTTAGGCAGGAAATCCTACAACCACTTCAGACAAATGGTCCACCAACATCTTCTTGAAAACCTCCAGTGTTGGAGCATTCACAACTTCTGGAGGCAAATTGTTCCACTGATTAATTGTTCTAACTGTCAGGAAATTTGTCCTTAGTTCTAAGTTGCTTCTCTCCTTGATTAGTTCCCACCCATTGCTTCTTGTNTTTTTCGCACCAATTGAGGTGTTTTTGCCTTCCCCCAGCCCCCAGGAGCACACTGCAAGCTTCAGCACGGGTGGGGAAAGGCAAAAACACCTCTATTTTTGTGAAAAAAGGCCTGTTTTCTGCCCATTTTTTGCAAAAATTGGGGTGTTTTAGCCATTCCCCCAGCCCTGCTGAAGCCTTCAGAGTGCTCCTGGGGGCCGGGGAGGACCGAAACTTTTTTTTCTTACTTACCTCTTTGAAATCTTGGTGCATCTGATACACCGGTGCATCTTATAGTCTGAAAAATACGGTAATTGTAGATTGGTGGGGGCCACTAGCCTGTATTTTAGAACCATAACAACTAAGACTGGAAGTACTAGCGGGGCATTCACATTCTGATGAAATTACTATGGGTTGTCCTCGACTTAACAACAGGTCATTTAGTGACCAGCGGCACTGAAAAGGGGACTTACAACTGTTTTTCAGAGATGCGACTTTTGTAGCATCCGCAGGGCCATGTGACGACAACTCAAGACGCTTGGCAACCGTCTTACATTTATGACCGTTGTGTCCCAGGGTCATGTAGATCCCCTTTTGCCACCTTCTGAACAAACGAAGTCAATGGGCAAGCCAGATTCGCTTAACAGCCAGATTATTACTGATACATCAGCTGCAGTGGTTCACTTAACAACTGTGGAAAGAAAGGTCGTGAAGCGGGGCAAAACTCACCTAACAATGGTCTCGCATAACAACAGAAACGGTGGGCTCAGTTCAGTGGTGGGTTCTGGATCCCGTTGCAACTGGTACGGTGCAACGGGGCCCGGCGTCCACCACTTGAACGCCCGCAGCACGCGGACGCGTCCTTACCTCCTGCGACGCTCCGCAACGCCTCCGTGACACTCCAGCTGCTTGGCGGAGCGTCACGCAGGCGCCGTATGCTCCGTGCACATGCACAGAAGCGCCGAAGAGCTCAAATACTGGTAAGGATTTACCAGTAAGGATTTTACGGGCGGGTGGGTGGGCCCTCCGGAGCACCATACTGGAACGGAACCTGGTGCTCCCGGCAGGCACCTGTACACCCGTACCGCCTGCAACCCACCGCTGGCTCAGTTGTAGTTCTAAGTCGTAGATTCTGCCAAGAAAAAGAATGTGTTTTGCTCAACATTGTACATGATCCGCGCATAGTTGGAGAGGTTGACGCCTGAGGAGCTGGAGTTGTGGGAAGGTTGCTGACTTGGTCTTCTTGCTTCTGCCCCCTTTTAGCGCTGCAGGCCCCAGTGAATTGGAGGCTTGGGAAGCTGTTGGGCCGAGGAGCTTTCGGAGAAGTCTACCTTTGCTATGATGTTGACATTGGACGGGAGCTGTCTGTGAAGCAGGTGCCCTTTGACCCCGACAGCCAAGAGACCAGCAAAGTGAGTGTTTGGTCAGATAGAACGGAAGAGGAGAGAATGGTCTCCACTGGCCAAGTGAGATTGGGCACCCACAAGGGGTTTCTCTAGGGTGCATTAAGCTTCCATTGTACACGTAGACAGCAAGGGATTAAATCATGACCATGTTCATAAAATACCATCATCATAAATGGTAAAGTACAACACTCAGTGATAGATTATGATCATTTTTGTTATTTTCTATCCCTATCTCTCTCTATCTCTACCTTTCTTTCTTTCCCCTCCTTCCTTCCTTCTTTTCTACCTGATTCTTTATTTATCTATCTACTCTATACTTTCTTTTCCTTCCTTCCTTCCTTCCTTCCTTCCTTCCTTCCTTCCTTCCTTTCTGATTCATTGTCTCTCTCTCTCTCTTTCTTTTCTTTCTCTTTCTGCCTGATTTTCACTCACTCACTATCTATCTTTCTCTGTCTCCTTCCTTCCTTTTTTCTTTCTTTCCTTCTATACCTGATTCTTATTCTATCTCTACCTTTCTTTTCCTTCCTTCCTTTCTTTCTACCTGATTCATTCTCTCTCTCTCTTTCTTTCTTTCCTTTCTACCTGATTCTCACTCACTCACTAACTCACTCTATCTTTCTCTGTCTCCTTCCTTCCTCTTTTCTTTCTTTCCTTCTTTCTACCTGATTTTTATTCTATCTATCTATCTATCTATCTATCTATCTATCTATCTATCTATCTATCTATCTATCTATCTATCTATCTATCTATCTATCTATCTATATTTTTCTTTCTTCCTTCCTTCCTGATTCTTATTCTCTCTCCCTTCCTTCCTTCCTTTCTTCTTTCCTTCCTTCCTTCCTGATTCTTATTCTCTCTCTCTCTCTCTCTCTCTCTCTCTCTCTCTCTCTCTCTCCCCCTTCCTTCCTTCCTTCCTTCCTTCCTTCCTTCCTTCCTTCCTTCCTTCCTGGTTCTTATTCTCTCTGTCTCCCTTCCTTCCTTCCTTCCTTCCTTCCTTCCTTCCTACCTACCTACCTACCTACCTACCTACCTGATTCTTATTCTTTCTCTCTCTGTTCATCTATCTAATTCTGTCTCTGTATCTATCTCTTTCGCCATCCATCCATCCCTCAGATGTTTTCATCCAAATAGACTCAATTTCCTTAAGCAACGCAGTGGTGTCATCAGGCATCACAATCACCGCAAATGGGCCATTTTTATGGACCCGAGGGAGGCACAGGTCCCGCTTACCCACCCACCCCAATCGGGCCATTAAACCGGGGTCTCATTCTGCTCACCCTTAAGTGGGCTCCCTGCAGTTGTGCTGCTTTAGAAAAAACAAACCCATGCTTCCAGTTACAATCTAGGCTTTTCCACTGTTACTCAGCTCTTCCGTTTCAATTCCTGCCGTTTTTTGGGATTCAGACAGGAAACATTAGTGGCCAAATATTGTTTAGAAGCAGAATCGCTTTCCTGGAAAAGCCTTCAGTACTGCATGATGCTAACTTAAAGCTGTAGTAACCTCTTGCTCAGGCCGTCGTTTTCCTTGAATTGCAAAGAAAGAAATAGTCAACGTTGAAGTTTTAAATTGGGATGCCAGATCTTGCAAAGGGCAAACGCTTGATAAAGGTAGTCCTTGACTTACGACCACAACTGAGACCTCCCAAAAAATTATGTTGCTGAGTGAGAGATTTGTTAAATAAGTTTGGCCCCATTTTATGACCTTTCTTGCCACAATGACTAAGCGAACCATTGCAGCTGCTAAAAGTTAATAACACAGTTGTTCAGCGAATCTGACTCTCCCCCATTGATTTTGCTTGTCAGACGGTCCCAAAGAATGATCACATGACCCCAGGACACCGTCATAAGTACATGTCAGTTGCCACGCACCTGAGTTTTGATCAGGCGACCATGGGGAATTCTGCAAATAAGTGTGAAAAATAAAAGTCAAAAGTTTTTCCAGTGCCGTTTTAAGTAAATGAATGATTGTAAGTTAAGGATGTTCTTGTAATTGCAAGTAATGCCATCCTTTTAAATATGTGGGTGGCTTAAAATATCCCAGTTGTATGTATCCCTGAAAAGTGAGTGAGAAAATGTGTGTGCTGTGTTTATAAAATGTTTTGCAAGGAAATTAAAAACAGACAGAAATCCCCCGGAGTCCATATCATTTATGAGAAATGACCTTATAAAGCAATTTGGTTGCTTAATTCCGAAACTCAGGAGCGAATGAATGTGTTGGGAACTGTTTGACCATTGGCAATAAGTAAGTAAGTGATTTAGTAAGTCAATAGTTGGAGATGTTTAGTTGTGTCATCTTGAACTTGCTGATTCTTCTCCATGTTTCACTGGCAATTTAAATTTTTTTAAAAAAAATGGAATTTGGAAGCTTGCCTTGTCCCTGTTTGAATTCACTGAATAGCGAAAGGAGATTTTTCAAGGACTTTTAAGGCCACGCAAATCTGCTGGCTTTGCAAACAGGGTAGCAGCTCTCACGATAGATAATCCTTGATTTACAACCATTCGCTTAGTGAACGCTTGAAGTTACGACGGCACTGAAAAAAGTGACCTATGACTGTTTTTCACACATACGATCATGGGCAGCATCTCTGTGGTCCTATCAACAAAATTTGGGCTCTTTGGCAACTGGCGTGTACCGTATTTTGGGGGGCATAAGACGCACCAAGATTTTGAACAGGCAAATTTAAAAAAAAGTTTTTTGCATTCTGTAGACCTCCCAAAAACGCCCCATTTTTTTGCAAAAGCAGGTCCTTTTTTGTCAATAAAAGGGCATGCATAGCCTTTAGGAGGCTTATAAAGTGCTCCTGGGGACTGCGGGGGGGGGGGAACTGAGCAAAAGAAGGTCCATTTTTTTTGCTAATTTCTGCCCTCCCCGAGCCCCCAGGAGCACTCTGGAAGCCTCCTAAAGGCTATGTAAGGCCATTTTGTTGAAGGAGGCGGGGTTTTGAGAGGCCAAAAATGCTGTATTCAGTGTATAAGACACACCCAGATTTTCACCCTCTTTTTTGAGGGAAAAAGTGCATCTTATACTCCGAAAAATATAGTATGTACCATGTCTACCAGCTCCCTGGTCATGCGATCACCATTTATGATCTTCCCATTCAGCTTCCAACAAGTGAAGTCAATGCGAGACATTAGATTCACTTAATGACTGCCGGTTCCAATCTGGGTCGGTCACTGCATCCTGCACCATTATCCTGAGACGTGTACTATATATTTGCCGTCATTCACTTAATGACCGACTGCATGAGTCACTTGTTAATTGCAGCAATCCTCATTGTGGCCAAAAGATCATTGTAATGGGGGGGGGAGAACTCACTTAACAACCCTCACTTAACAACCACCTTGCTTAACAACAGAAATTTTGGCCTCCATTGCAGTTGTAAGTCGAGGTCTATCTATGCTGGGGATGAACACTAAGGTTGATCAGAATCTTTATGTGCTTTAATTTTTAGTAAGGGTTTTTTAAAAAGGAAGATTAAAAACGAATACAAAGTTAAGGGGAAGAAACGAAACTGAAAGCTGATAATACAAGAGGGAAAAATAGAGAAGGAAGGAGAAAAAAAAGAACTTATTTTTCTTTGCTGCAATTGTAACCAGAATTATGAAGCTGCCTCTTTACAGTTAAAAGATAGAACAGAGTAGAATAGAATAGAACAGAATAGAATAGAATAGAATAGAATAGAATAGAATAGCAGATTTGGAAGGGACTTTGGAAGGCTTTCCTGCTTAGGCAGGAAACCCTACAACCACTTCAGACAAATGGCTATCCAACATCTTCTTAAAGACTTCCAGTGTTGGAGAATTCACAACCTCCGGAGGCAACTTCTGTTCCACTGATTCATTGTTCTAACTGTCAGGAAGTTTCTCCCCAGTTCTAAGTTGCTTCTCTCCTTGATTAGTTTCCACCCATTGCTTCTTGTTCTGCCCTCAGGTGCTTTGGAGAATAGCTTGACTCCCTCTTCTTTGGGGCAGCCCCTGAGATAGTGGAAATCTGCTCAGTGTTAATTTGAGGTAGTCCCAAGGTGGATGGGGAAAGAAGTAAGAGGTAGCCACACCCCACATTCACCCAGGGTTTATCTATTAGTACTGAAGGAAGGGAATATTTATAGCTCAGAATTGAATTGTGGAGTCTGTAGTACTCTCACAATTTGAGGTTTTTCTTGTAGACGTTTTGTTACCAAACTAGATAACATTATCAGCCCCGTTGATGTTTGGAAACGAAACATCTGCAAATCAAAATATTAAAGAGAATGTAATGTTTAATTATTATTTGTGGTGAGGTATGGTGGCTCAGTGGCTAAGGCGCTGAGCTTGTCGATCTGAAAGATTGGCGGTTCAAATCCCTAGCACCACATAACAGAGTGAGCTCCTGTTACTTGTCCCAGCTTCTGCCAACCTAGCAGTTTGAAAGCAGGTAAAAAATGCAACCTTTTTTGGGGCACCCCCTGAGATATTGAAAGACTGCTATCATGTCTCCCCTGGTCCTTCTTTTCATTAAACTAGCCATAC